GCGTTTGTTTTTGAGGTGACGAGTCGTGCAATCGGTTTGTGCCGAGATAGCCGCTTTACGCCCTCACCCTGACTAGTAAACTGAACCAAACCCAACCCATCGTGCTACTGGGCACCCTGCTTTAGGAGAATGGATGCCACACCCACACGCCTTCAGTCCACGCTACAGCGTCTCTCCCTCTGTGCTTTCAGTTTAAGCTTGAAGCTCAAATCTTCCGCCCCCCCCCTTTCACGCAAAGCCAGTAATGACTGACTTTTTCTAAACAAGACTCTCTTTAGCTTCACAGAATTTGTCCCTCTCCCATGGTCGGGTGTTGGACGTACAAGATACGAAGAACTGAGTTCGAATCCTGGCTGGGTTGGACAGAGTGTAAAATTCGCGTGGGAAAAAATGCGTTACCTTTTTCCCTGTCCCCGCGGATCGCCCGGCCTCGTATGGACAATCGGCTGTCGGTTGATGAATAAGACAGAGGTTGTGAATGATAGCGTCGTGTGCTTAACAGGCTGCAACACTGCACATCCACAGAGGACCTGAATGATGATCTATATGTGAAGCGTGCTGTCAAAATGAGTTACAACTCGCAATCCACAAATGGAGATATTGGCCGAAAGTCGACTTTAGGGTCAAATATGTAGATTTTCTTCTATTAATTCGATGCCATATTCTTTAACTACATGTATAACCTGTCTTTTATTATTTCATACTTATGGAAGTAGATATTTATACGGCAGGCCGTCGAAAAATCGGAAGTGATAATTCCGCGGCATATGATTTTAGCCTATCAGAACATCCGGACTCTTTATAATTAAGCCTATAATCATTTTTCCATAATTAACGCGTTATAGATCATACAATTTAAGATACCTGTGTGTCCAGTAACAATGTTTATCGTTTGCTATCATTTTGTTCATTATAGACAATGATGAAATGTTTTGCGTAATTGTAACGAGAGTGAGAGATGCACAATTTAGTTTGTGCAAGTAAAATGGAAAGAAGACTTTTTTTCCAACAGTAGGGTGCCCATTTGTGGATGGGATCGGGTCGGGTCGGGTCGCGTAGGTATGATCACCCGACTTGTCGCCTGAAAACAAACACAATTCTTGCATTGATACCAAGGAGTTTACAGTAGTTCTAAACTCCTTGATTGATACACTTCAAGCAGAGCCTATGCCGTCGAAATATCAATTCCGATCTTTAGACTCAAGACGGCATACCGTATAGGCATCACTTCCGATGTTCAGACGGCATGCCGTGGAAATATCACTACCCCATACTTATAGCTGTAAATTGTAAAATTCACCTATAAGAGTGATGTATCTATTTTCTTAAGGCTTGAATCCGAGAAGTAACTCATTTTGTCAGCACGCTGATATTGGAGGAACATATGACCGAGAGAGTTATTGTGATGTTGTGTGAATCATTGTGGGGGCTGGGGTGATCTGGGCTGGCGGAAGGGGGGGGGGGTTGGTGACGATTGCAAATGACCAGATGACGTTTTAGCTTTTATGATTACAGTGTCGTTTTTTTCTCTTATAGAGGATGCCCATTAGCGCGGTCGGGTCGGGTCAAGTCGATTTGGTTGTCCGGGCTAGCCAAATTGAGGGCGAAAAGTGAGTGGCCATCGTGGCACAAAACCGATCGACGCGGTCGCTGACTTGCAAAAACAAACGCGTCTGTTTTCAAGGCAGCGAGTCGGACGATTGGGAGGTTTACAGCCAATCACGACAAGGCTTTGTAACCTACGACGAGACACGTGTCCATGTTGACACTGCGATGTCAAGGTCAGGCACTTCCGGGCGAAGAAATACCGGGTCTATTTTTAAAACTTCCAGGTCGTCGGGTACAATCACGGCCGGGTTATTTTTGTGTAGTGTGCACTGAAACCAAAGATTCTCTACTACACGATTTTTGCTGAATACGGGGTGCCCACTACGGCTGGATCGGGCCGATCGCCCGACTCGATCGCCTGAAACTGAAAACAAAACACGTTTGTTTTTGAGGCGACTGAGTCGGGCGATTGGCCCTATCGGCCGATCTCATCCGTAGTGGGCACCCCGTAATAGAAACCACCAGAAAACGACCCGACCTGACCCGACCCGACCAGACCAGATCGCGCCAATG